CTCGGCCTCCCAAAGTGCCATGGTGCCCCACCGCTGACTACCCCTTTGTTGACTGGAGATCTTGGCTGTCCTCAGGGCTTTGCCGTGCTGTGGGAGTTGCAGCAGCAGACAGATACTCAGGCTTGGGTGGGAGGCCAGGCATTTCTCACTAGGGCCCCTGCTTTGCAGACAGATCTTGGAGCTGCCCTGGAAGGAGGAAATTTTCTTGGTGTTGCAGTCACTCCTAGAGCGGCAGGTGAGCAGGCTGTCCTGGGGAAGAGTGGACAAAGAAGTGCTGCATTCCTTGGAAGGACATCGGGTTCTTAGGTTTCTGAGTCCTTCAGTGGATGCAGGGTCAAGTAGGACAGCTGCCCTACAGCAGCTGCCTGAGACAGTGGGAGAGACCTGGGGCATGCAAAGCTGGTAGCAGAGAGCTGAGCACATGGTCACTTCAGCTCCACCTCTTACTAGCTGGGCGGCCTTGGGGTGGGATTTTTGATGTGTGTGTGTAAATTTTATTTTATTTTTGAATAGGTAATAGATTCGTATGTTCACAATTTTTTTTTTTTTTTTTTTTTTTTTGAGATAGAGTCTGGCTTTGTCACCCAGGCCAAAGTGCAGTGACACAATCTTGGCTAACTGCAACCTCTGTCTACTGGGTTCAAGCAATTCTTATGCCTCAGCCACCCAAATAACTGGGATTACAGGCGTGTGCCACCATGCCAGCTAATTTTTGTATTTTTAGTAGAGACAAGGTTTCACCATGACTTGAGGCCAGAACTTCTGGGCTCAAGTGATCTGCCCTCCTTGGCCTCCCAAAGTGCTGGGATTATAAGCGTGAGCCACCATGCCCAGCCCATATGTTGACAATTCTAAAAGCTCAAAAGGATACTGTGAAAAATATTCCCCTTACTTCTCTTCTCCAACCATCCAGAGTCCCCCAGTTTCAGGGGAACCCCCCCTCCCAGAGATACCATCTATATGTGGAAACATGTTTACACTTACTATCCATCCTACTTTTTATGGAAATTGCAACACACCAAACTCATTGCCCTGTACCTTGCTTTTTTTACTTCACAGTATATTTTGGTGATTTTTTTTCATATCAGTACCTAAAATTCTGCCTCATTTGTTTATATCTTAGATAACTGACCTAACTTCTTTATGCCTGTAGTTTCCTCGTCTACAGAAGGGGAGACAGAATATTAATAGCACCTACCACATAAGATTGGAGTGAGGTTTAAATGAGATAATTGGTATAAAGTACTCAGAATGGTACCTGATGCACAGTGTTTATTAAATTATTATTATTATTATTTGAGACGGAGTCTCACTATATCACCTAGGCTAGAGTGCAGTGGCGCGATCTCGGCTCACTGCAACCTCCGCCTCCTGGGTTCAAGTGATTCTCCAGCCTTAGCCCCCTGATTAGCTGGGATTACAGGCACGCACCACCATGCCTAGCTAATTTTTGTATTTTTAGTAGAGATGGGATTTCACCATGTTGGCCTGGTTGGTCTCGAAGTCCTGACCTCAGGTGATCTGCCCTCCTCGGTCTCCCAAAGTGCTGAGATTACAGGTGTGAACCACCACACCCAGCCTAAATTATTATTATGAAGAGCCAGGAGATTAAGGTGGCAGTGTCTCTTGGGCCCTGACTCGTTTATATCTTTAACCACTGAACCAGACAAGGGATCCTTGGCTTCCCCTTGGTCCTAATCTGAGCCTTTGCAATGGTAGCCACCATTTTCTGAGACGTGCGTGTCTTATGTGCATTATCTCATTTAATCCTTTTCACAGTCTTCCATTAGATATTCTGAGCCTCATTTTACAGATGTGGAAATGGAGGTTTAGGTTGCTTAAGTAACCTGCCCAGGGTCACCCAGCTAGGAAGTGGTTGAGTTAGGAATTGAATCCAGGACTGGCAGAATGAAGAGCCCAAGCCCTTCTTGTGATTACTGCTCCATCTCCCAATGTGTGCAGGTGGAGATGACCCCTGAGAAGTTCAGTGTCTTAATGGAGAAGCTCTGTAAAAAGGGATTGGCAGCCACCACCTCCATGGCCTATGCCAAGCTCATGCTGACAGTGATGACCAAGTACCAGGCTAACGTGAGTACTGATAGGGCCATGGGGCTGGTCCTGCTGGCAGGGCTGCCCTGGGCCTGCCACAAGGGTGTATGAATATGTATGTCAGGGATAAAACCCTGAGTGCTGGGGTTGATGTAGACCCTCCCAGAAAGATGGAAGTATGAACATGCTTCTGTTGCACAATTTCAGCGAGCTCCTGAATCCTCTGGAGATCCAAACAGAAGGACCTCCAATATGAGGCATCAGGAGTCATTCAAGGGCCTTCAACCTGGGAGTAACTTGGTCAGATCTGTACTATTAAGAAGCATCTGGCTTCTGTGAGGAGTGGGATTGGAGGGTGAAGATCTAGGGCCTGAGACCTGTCAGGAGGTTGTAGCAACAGTGCAGAAAGAGAAAGTGTGGCCCAAAAGGAAGGCAGGTGTCACACAGTAGAGTGTCTGTGAACCTCAGTTTTCTCATCTGTAAAATGGGAGGGTTTTGAGGATTATATACAGCAATGCATATACATGATGTGTATGTATGTTTGTATATGGATTGATGCATATAAAGTGCTGCCACATAGTAAACACACAATAATTGTCAACTATTACTAATGTGGCCGGCTTAGTAAGTTGTGCAGCTAGTATTTGGATCCAGGTCCACCTAGTTAACTACGGTGAAATAATGAGATTAGATTGCTCAGGAGTCTCCTCCTTCTATCCTCCTGGCTTCCTCTCTCCTTCCTCAATAGAGACCCTGGGGTAGTGGGGAGAGGGGAGGGATCAGCTGCTGGAGTCCTGACATGATTTTTCCTTCTCCGCAGATCACTGAGACCCAGAGGCTGGGCCTGGCTATGGCCCTAGAACCTAACACTACCTTCCTGAGGAAGTCCCTGCAGGCCGCCTTGAAACATTTGGGCTCCTGACCATCCACCAAGGGACCACCGTCTTGGTGCTCCATCACCAGCTTCCTGAAGGCATTTCTGTCTTCACCACCTTCTGTCTTGAGCCCTAGCCTGAGGATAAAGGCTGAGCCTGGCCATCCCAGATTCCAACTGCCTCCCTGTTCCAGGCTCCATAGGGGCATACTGGCTTCCCAGCCAACAGGGAGGCTCCTAGGCTAAGGAAGCTCAGCTATATTTTGTTTTTCATTTCTTTTCTTTTGTTTTTGAGAGAAGGTATTGCTCCGTCATCTAGGCTGGAGTGCAGTGGTGCGATTGATCATGGCTCACTGCAACCTCTGCCTCCCAGGCTCAATCCTCCCATGTAAGCCTCCCAAGTAGCTGGGACTACATGCACATGACACTGTGCCCCAGCTAATTTTTTTATTTTGTAGATAATAAGCTGGTCAGGGCTGGTCTTGAACTCCTGAGCTCAAGTGATCTTCCCGCCTTGGCATCCCAAAGTGTTGAGATTTACAGGTGTGAGCCACCACACCAGGCCAGAGCTATATTTTCAAAGGCTGCTGGCCCCAGGCACACTCCTCATCAATTCTCAGGCTGCAGGGACAGAAACTTTCCAACAGGGCTCAGTAGGGTCAAGCCGACCCAGAGTGGACATGGGATGCTCCAGGAGGTCTAGGGTACCAGTGTGCTCAGATGAAGCTCTTGTGCTCATGTATGTTATGACCTTCTGTGCTTTTGTTTCTGACTTGAATTTATCAATGGTATTGAATAAAAAGCAAGTTCAATAATGTCTTTTTCTTTTTTTTTTTTTTGAGGCAGTCTCACTCTGTCACCAGGCTGGAGTGCAGTGGCGTGACGTCGGCTCACTGCAACCTCCACCTCCCCAGTTCAAGCGATTCTCCTGCCTTGGCCTCCTGAGTAGCTGGGATTACAAGCTCCTGCCACCATACCCTGTTCATTTTTGTATTTTTAGTAGAGACGGGGTTTCACCACATTGGCCAGGCTGGTCTCAAACTCTTGACTTCAGGTGATCCGCCTGCCTCCCAAAGTGCTGGGATTACAGGCGTGAGCCAGCACGCCTGACTAATGTCTTATTAGAAGCAGTACTTTCCTTCCTGTGAATTCTGGGTATTGAACCCATCCCCACCCCCTCCACCTCCCTGCTCAGTGACAAGGAACATCTTTTTCCTGGTGAGGGAAAGAGTGTAGGGTATCTTACTCACTTTCTGAGGGCCAAATAATGTGTAATACCACTCACCCCATCCTACAGGAGCTGCCCCCACCAGGCAGGGGGATAGGTGGGAATGGACATAAAGGTGGGAGTGACTCAGTCTGGAGTTAGGGAAGGGTTTTGGGCAGATGAACCCTAGGAGAGATCTGAAGGGCTCTTCGGGTTACAGTGGGCTAAGAGGATGAGACCCACTGGACAGAGGAAAGAGCAGAGAAGCCACCTTAATGGGTGTGCAGTGCTGTGTGCCTGTTTTACATCTTTGTATTCCTGTAGCACCTGGCTAGACGCCTTATTCATAGTAGTCACACTTAAAACGTAGATGTTATCAAATCATCAAGTAAAAGTTCACTTTAAGACTTTGCTAGCTCTTCCCCTCTGCAGGCGCTGAGAGGCCAGGAACAGAACTTTCCGGACGCTTCCCTTACCACGAGTCCACGTTAGAGCAAGGTGCTGAGGGAGGGAGGTCTGGCCGAGGAACAAGGCTTGCTTTTGAGAACATAAGCTGGTGCGGACGGCGCGAGGTGAAAGGGGTTTGAGGGACAAGCATGCCGGAATCCACGCTGTCAGTGAACATCACTGGGCTGTACCAGTACGTGTGACTACCGAAGCTCGAGCCCCGAACGCAGCTGCTTCCCTAGGGGCCCAGCAACAGCGGGCGCGAATCGGCACATTACCGGCGGCCGCGGGGCGCTCAGGGCTGCGACAACTCCGTGGGTTCCCGCGCCGGCCTAGCGGCCCAGCGACGCCCCCAGCGGCCGGAGAAGTCCGCGCTTCTCGGGGTTGGCCCACCCAACCTCTGTGTGGGTAGGACCGAGGAACGACGCATTCTCGCGAGATCGGGCCACTATTAGAGCGCATGCGCAAACTGTGCTAGTCTCTTTTCCGGTTAGCGCGGCGTGAGAAGCCATGAGGTAAGTGGTCCTGAAAGCCCTATCTGCGTTCATCCGCGCCTCCAGGTGCCCCGCCAAGGATGCGGCTCCTGCAGACCGAACTGCGGGCCCTTGCGCCACCTTCGCCGCGGGGCATTTCTCAAGGCGGGTCGGCCTGCGGGTCGCCATTCCTACCAGGTCCGATCACCGAGAGGCTCCCTCTTCCACCGGGGTTTGGGTCTGGGTCTGGGCTCCCGTCGCTCTACTTGGTGTCCGGAATCTACTGGGGAGTCTGCCGTGGGCCGCCCGCCCGTCTCGAAGCTTGGAGCCTCGGAGGCTTCCGAGCAGTCTGAGCGTGTGGACTCCGCGGCCCTGAGCGCGCTGTCGCTTCTCTCACGCAGCAGCAAAGTCTCTCGCGACACCCTGTACGAGGCGGTGCGGGAAGTCCTGCACGGGAACCAGCGCAAGCGCCGCAAGTGAGTGCCGACCCTGGGGCAGGGCGCGGGTGGTGAGGGCCGGCGTGTGCTTAATGTTTAATCCCCCTCCTCTCTCGAAGGTTCCTGGAGACGGTGGAGTTGCAGATCAGCTTGAAGAACTATGACCCCCAGAAGGACAAGCGCTTCTCGGGCACCGTCAGGTTGGCACCGTTCTGACCCCACCCAGCCCTCAGTGCCCCCGTGCCTGCCCCTCCCCTGCAGGCTCCCGCTGAGCCGGAGGCGGGCACGACGGTACTGATGTGTTAGGGTAGTTCAGACCCCCTGCTCCGGGCAGGCGCGGCTGGACGGACCCCCACCCTGGGTCTTAAAACATGAGGGGAGGCGTGGGGAGGCCTTGGCCGAGCCCGCCGACCAGCCTGACAAGCCAGGCTGGCTGCTGGTGAATGTGAACGCTCCGGGTAAGGCTCGGTGGCTGCTGCGGTCCCACACCCTTCACCGGCCCTTGGGACCCAGGGCTAGGCATAACCTGTTGGTGCTGTCCCCCAAAACGCAGGCTTAAGTCCACTCCCCGCCCCAAGTTCTCTGTGTGTGTCCTGGGGGACCAGCAGCACTGTGACGAGGCCAAGGCCGTGGATATCCCCCACATGGACATCGAGGCGCTGAAAAAACTCAACAAGAATAAAAAACTGGTGAAGAAACTAGGTGAGTCCGGCCGCTGTGGTTTTGCGTGTGAGATGTGGGGTGGAGGCGCTAGAAAGGCTTTCCTGCCATTTCGATTTTTAATGATGAGGGGGCTAGACTAGCAAATGCGGCGGTGGTTGCCTAGCTGGCCTGAGTGCTGTTTTAGCTTTGCGGTGGTTTGATGTTTGTATTTGCTATGAGGATTCCAGTTGATGAGGGAGGCCAGGTATTGTAAGTTGACCAGCCAGGTGCTGGTGAGGTATGATTTGGAAATCTTACTCTGCGTTGTTTAGGCAGTGGCATTAGACTGCTTTTACAGGTAGGAAGCAGACATTGCCAGTTGTCACGTGTCCAGGGTCCACCGCTAAGAAATAGGCACAATTCAAGCCTATTTTTTAGTTATTTTTTGAGACAGGCTGGAGTGCAGTGGTGCGATCTCAGCTCACTGCAAGCTCCGCCTCCCGGGTTCACACCATTCTCCCTCCTCAGCCTCCCGAGTAGCTGGGACTACAGGCGCCCACCACCACGCCCGGCTAATTTTTT